GTGCAAGCTCAGGTCAGAGGGGAGATGCAGCACTTAAGGCAAAAACTGTGTGTTCATCACAAAGAAAGTGTAAGATCAGCAGAGAAAAAATTCCAGAACCTTTGCCTGTTGCAGTGATGGGTTGATAATAAAAATCTCAATGTCACAAAATTGACTAGTCAGGGTGCAGCTTCTGTCCTACCTTCTCTTCCTCCATCTCTCCCTTCACTCCTCAGTATCTTGAAAACGTGTGACAGATTTAAACAAGCATTCCTAGGGTGTCCCAAAGTGATTCCATAACTGGAAGGAAGTGTCTGATTGTTCCCAAAGCACATTTGAAAACCCAAAATTGTTCCAGAAGTCAGATTACTTAAGAAAAGCACTTCAAAGGAAAAGACAGACCAGACTGTGAGAGAAATATGGAGCAGGTCGTGATACAAACATTGAAACACAGCTGGACTTATGGTTAAGCAATAGTTCTAAGTAACACCAATATTCTCAAGATGATATATACACATATTCATATAAAATTAGCCATAAGAACTTCTTTGGGCATGATTTCCAAAGTGGCCAGTGAGACTGCAGCTGCTGCCCCATCCACCTCATTTCACCAGGCACTGGAACCTGCCTGACTGAATTTAAGATGGATTTTGTGGACACAGAGTAACTACATTCCTGTTTCAGATTCCTTGGTGCTTGGTCACCAAAATTCCAAAAGGTGACGGGCACTTCAGCAAGCAGGGGGATGTTGCTGAATGCACCAGAATTAATCAGTAGCAAGTGATGATTAATTTAGTGCCTGCACAGAGCTGTGCTGCACAGAATGCTGATCTGAACCCAGACAGAATCACTGTGTGTGCATCGAGAGCAGCACGAGAGGGGCAAAATAATATCTTAATTGTGAATGCTTTGCAATCAATCTATTGTTTCAAGAAAAGCTCTTATGGAAATTAGTTAGGGAGAGAAAGTCCTTTTACATAAAAACCAAGTCATGTTCAGAGGGTGACATACCTCAAGTGCCTCTTTGGTAATGGGATATTTCTCCAAGCTGGAGATCACTTCCAGCACTGCCACCATGTTATGGATCTGCAACAAGGAAGACAAAGTCACTTCATATTTCATGTTCAGGTCTTAAGTTATCAAATGTAATTTAAGACTTCCCACTTTATAATTGCTGGAAGCATTAATCACAAAATTGCTATCACACTGTCTGGCTTTAGGGAGCTGATTGTTCAAAGAACAGGGACAAGGACATTTTGCTGACCTAGTTGGGAACTGCAGAAGCTGTAACAAACACACTCTTATGTAAAACTAAAGGAAACATGAGCAATAAAACCAGTGTGACTTATTAGCAAAGTCCTGAGATCCCCAGCCAGGGGGTTGGTTCATCGTCCTAGAGCCTCACTGGAAATACAAGTGCCAGGGGACCAAGAAAAGCCAGGAGCAGCTCAGAAATCTCGACAACTTTATTCTAAACGCCGGTGCTTCCTGTAGCCACACGCCAAGAGTCTAACAGCCCAGGTCCCAGCTCCTCTTGCTGCAGAGCAGCCGGGACGGGCGTTGTGCCCAGTAGGTGTCCCCAGACCATCGCCAGCTCCAGCGGCCCAGCCTGGGAACAGCCCCGGCTCCATCGCTCGGCAATCGTGGCTGCAGCTGCGTGGGATGGGAGAGGAGGAGCTGCGGAAAGACACGCTCTGTGCCCCACGGAAGCAGCTGCCACAATCTGCAGAGGTGAAGAACCAGTGTGGGGTTAATCATCTCCATGAGAAACCCCAGACTACACAGAGATCCGTGTTGCCATTACCTGATGTTAAGAGCATCAAAACTGGAATTTCTAATTCACCTTTGTGGTGAGATTTAAAGGCTGAGCAAAGGAAAACCTGAATCACAGTCTTTTATTGCTTCATTTCATTTGTGACTCAACTGGACCTGAACGGCATCTGAGAAAAATCTTGCAGCAAAAACCTCTGCAGGGATCCCAGGTTATCCTAAATTCTTACCAGGGAGCTCAATCAGGTGGCCCTGCCCTCCCAGCCACTCCTCTTGCTGCAGAGCAGCCGGGACGGGCGTTGTGCCCAGTAGGTGTCCCCAGACCATCGCCAGCTCCAGCGGCCCAGCCTGGGAACAGCCCCGGCTCCATCGCTCGGCAATCGTGGCTGCAGCTGCGTGGGATGGGAGAGGAGGAGCTGCGGAAAGACACGCTCTGTGCCCCACGGAAGCAGCTGCCACAATCTGCAGAGGTGAAGAACCAGTGTGGGGTTAATCATCTCCATGAGAAACCCCAGACTACACAGAGATCCGTGTTGCCATTACCTGATGTTAAGAGCATCAAAACGGGAATTTCTAATTCACCTTTGTGGTGAGATTTAAAGGCTGAGCAAAGGAAAACCTGAATCACAGTCTTTTATTGCTTCATTTCATTTGTGACTCAACTGGACCTGAACAGCATCTGAGAAAAATCTTGCAGCAAAAACCTCTGCAGGGATCCCAGGTTATCCTAAATTCTTACCAGGGAGCTCAATCAGGTGGCCCTGCCCTCCCAGCCACACTCTGCTGCAAGATTCCTCATTTTAAAGACTGTGACTTTGAGAATTAGCTTTTTCCAAGTCAATTCTACCCTTCTATTAAGGTACAACAGCAGAACCAGGACCTGAATTCTCTCCCTTTCAGAATATCTTGTGCACAGACAATATTTTTCCATCCTAGCAGAACTGCTTAATGTTGGAGATACATGGATAAAGCTGTCAGCTAATAAATGCTTTGCCTGATTTTTAGATTTACCAACTCATTTCTGAAGTCTCTATAGGCTTTGAATGATTCTAACTCTTACAGGTTGTGAAACCAACTTTAGACCAAAGATGAACTAATTTGTCATTTGTCATCACTGAACTACAATTCCTCTGATGTTTGTTCACGGAAGCAGCTGCCACAATCTGCAGAGGTGAAGAACCAGTGTGGGGTTAATCATCTCCATGAGAAACCCCAGACTACACAGAGATCCGTGTTGCCATTACCTGATGTTAAGAGCATCAAAACGGGAATTTCTAATTCACCTTTGTGGTGAGATTTAAAGGCTGAGCAAAGGAAAACCTGAATCACAGTCTTTTATTGCTTCATTTCATTTGTGACTCAACTGGACCTGAACAGCATCTGAGAAAAATCTTGCAGCAAAAACCTCTGCAGGGATCCCAGGTTATCCTAAATTCTTATCAGGGAGCTCAATCAGGTGGCCCTGCCCTCCCAGCCACTCTGCTGCAAGATTCCTCATTTTAAAGACTGTGACTTTGAGAATTAGCTTTTTCCAAGTCAATTCTACCCTTCTATTAAAGTACAACAGCAGAACCAGGACCTGAATTCTCTCCCTTTCAGAATATCTTGTGCACAGACAATATTTTTCCATCCTAGCAGAACTGCTTAATGTTGGAGATACATGGATAAAGCTGTCAGCTAATAAATGCTTTGCCTGATTTTTAGATTTACCAACTCATTTCTGAAGTCTCTATAGGCTTTGAATGATTCTAACTCTTAACAGGTTGTGAAACCAACTTTAGACCAAAGATGAACTAATTTGTCATTTGTCATCACTGAACTACAATTCCTCTGCAGATGTTTGAAGCCCAACCATCTGGTCAGGTCTGGTAAAACTCTGCTACAGCTTTGAAGCAGCAATAACACGAGTCCTGACATATTTTACTTCTTACTATTTCTCTTCAGTGACTTTCTTCCATGTTTTGATCCTTGCACCACCCTCAGCACCTGGGAAGGATGATTTAGCACCACAGTTCAAGCAAGAACTAACACCAGGGTTGGTTGATGCTTTTTTTTTCCTTCAGTTTCTAGAACCAGAGCATTTAGATTAGCTAATGCTCCATTGTGGGAGTTTCCAGACAAGCTTTTTTAGACCTGCAAAACATAACACCCTCCTTCCCAACACATATTTTAGGCTATGAATTACCCAGGTGCATAAAAGCTCCACGTGTCGCACACACTGGTAATTGGTACCATTATTTTTGCAGTTACTGGTAATCCCCAAATATTCATTATCTAAATGACAAAGTGAAGGCAAAAAAAGGATCATTAGTCTATCAGAAGGTCAAAATGGGGAAAGTGACACCCTCACCTACACACACCTGCTGTAGATGAAACAAGTCGGGGAATTTCCTATGGATGCCCCCAAATGCTCAACCACCTCCTGGAGACCAGGTCTACATGGAGACTGAGAGACTGGTCCTTCCCTCCTTGGAGGGACCTGGGGTGCCAACAAAGAGGGAAAGCAGCCCTAGAGCTGAGCCTGTGCTGATAGCTCAACTTCTGGTAAACAAACAACACCCCCTTCAGATTCTTCACACATTTGTAACCAATTGAAAACAGAGTCACACTGAAGCAATCGCTGTGAGGGGCATGAAGGCTCACACTCCACATCAGCTGCAAGCAGCTCCTCTCATTTTCCCTTCTTCTACACCTGCAGAGAAGCATGGTTCTTAAAAAAACCCCAAACATAAAACAAAAAAAACTTCCAGGCAGGTTCAACAACTTCTCCACCCTTCCCCAGTAGTTTTGTGTAGTTTTCTTGGAATGCTTCACCTAAACTGCCACAAAGAGAAGCTTGTAATAAAAAACATTCTCCTATTTCAAAATAACAGACTGTGAAATTTCTTGTGGTGTAGCCCAACACTATGATGAAAACAAGATGATCTTCCCAAGATGACTCAAATAGAATTTATTCCCTGTAAAGACACTATTTTCAATAGCAGCAGCACATCAGTGCACACCAGTGTCTCTACCTTAAACCAACTGTCACGGGCTTAATAAAATTAACATATCACATAACTGACATCAGACTGAACTTACAAAACCTGCCAGGACATCATCCACCAGAAATGATAGTTAATTAAGACAAGCTGCTATTAAAAATGCTTATTGGCTCCACAGAAGATAGGCAAAGTAACATCAAGCTGAGAGGGACAAGGGAGCTCGGCAGCCTCACTCTGCTCACTGGTTAAGGCTGCAATTGCATAATTCAGCATCTCAGGAACTTGCACATCAGTTTAGTTTCTTTCTGTCTTTGTCTACTGACACTGCAACCCACTTCTACCACCCCAAAACAAGAACTGCTGTGAAGCAACCCCAAGACCTCGTGGAAAAGGACTCAGAATAATTTACACACCCCTTCAAATCCTGGCATGTGATTCCCGTGCTGGGGAACACGACTGGCACACGGGCTAATTCACTCCAAGTTTACTGAAGAACATCTGCTTCCAGTCATCTACAATAATCCCTTCCAGTCAACCCTAATGACAGTCACAGAAAACAAATCTTATTTATTCCATGCAAGTCTCCTTAAGTCATTCAGCCACACTCTGGAGCTCACTACTGGGATCTGAGATCTTTCCCAAGTTTTTTACTACAGCCCCAGACAAAAGCACAGGTTTCTGAGCTCCCTGGAAAAGATCAAGCAGCTTAATGTCCTTTCTTTAACTGCCATCTTAATCCTATTTTGGATTTTACAAACAAGAACTCAGTAACTAACTTCAGGGCAAGTGTTACAGAGCAGTTGAGAAGAATAAAAAGTGTGTTGGGGTTTGGGAAGCTGGACATGCAGCTGCTCCTGCCACCCCTGACCCCACTGCCTCCTTCCCAGGCAGCTTTGAACACAGCAGCAACCTCAGCATCCCCAGGTGAGCTGGTACCACAGCTCCCACTGTTATGCCTTGATTCTCTTTCTCCATCTACGGACCAGTCCAGATACAAAACACAAACTGAGCACCAGTGCAACACCTTCCTTGCCCTCTGGGCTGCCTGGAGACACAGGACAACCTGCACCTTGCTCCACTGCTCTCCAACACCTTACAGAAACATTCCATTGCAATCACTTGAAATAAGCAATTTATTAAAAAAAAGTTTCACAGGGATGTTTCTAAAGGTCTCTGCATCACTAGACCATGATAGATGACAAACCAGATCTGAGCTGGCAGGGATGGTGTTACTGAGACAGTTACACAGGAGAAGGTGGAGCTCTTGGAAAGCCTGAGAGCTACACACAAAAAATGTGCAGTGAATACAGGCTCCTGTCCCTGTACCCTGGCTAGAAAGGCTTTTTTAAAGTCATTTGCACAAACCTC